AACTTTTCTTAAAATTCATTAAGCAGCAACATAATTACACATTTCATTAATGAACTATGACATACAGGAATCTGAAATTTACAACATAGCCTCTGGAGATATTCTAATAAACCCTGAGAGTATAGTACTGTACATTCCCCATGTCCATGGTTTATGCTAACCGTGATACAATATATACACTTTTTCACCTTATTCTTCACTTCCACACTACATGCTTCAGCACTAATGTGCCATCCTGAGGTGTCTTTATGCACGTTAAACTATTGTACTGCATGCCATGATGTCTTCATTCTAAAATGACTAAAATCTGTATTTGTCATATATGTCGATGAATTATAAATAATAAAACTTTTCAGGATTCATCCTACGTCGCACTCAAACACGCGAATTACGCCAATCATCTTTTATGTGAGTATTCTTCCTACAATCATTTGTGTACCGTGTTCTGTGTTGTGTTTTGCTCCTGTTACTGCATGCATTGTACATGGTACATAGGAAGAAAACAAAATCAAGAAATCATCTAGGTTCCTTAATCTTTTTGCCCATGAAACACGTTCCACCTCTTCTTCTCGGACGATAAGCAGCATTGACTCCGAAGATTTCCGAAAAAATTGCTTCCTTCTCTTGACATGCACGAGGAATTGAGGGCCTACTGCGGGGACTCTTTGGGCTGCAAAATGTTTGGAGGTACAGTAATGACTTTCATGCAGTAGAAGGTGACTGAATGCTTGCTGGTGATAGAAGAACATGCACAATTTCTTTTTAGCATCCAGAACTAAGGTACGGGCACACTATTTGTAAAACCAATTAACTCCTTCCTTGCATATCGGTTTGGCATTAGAAATAGCCGTAACCGATTTAACAATATTTATTCGTTCAGCTTGAAATAAAAACTTTCTTTGGCCACTTAGATGATGTATTATGAACGGAGAAAGAGCAAAATGCTGTGCATTGTCCACCCCCATTTTGGATGAATTATAATCGGACTCAAATTCCAAGTTGTCTTTTGCCAAATCTCTTTGATGCTCCAAATATTTTTTCACAATAAAAGCACATATTATACCCTTGTCATTCCATAAAATAAGAAAGTCTACCTTGAGGTCATGCTGTATAATTCAGTTTTATTTGATTGTTCCCAAAACTCCTCTATTTAATACATAAAATTGTTTTGCCATGTGAATTCGGAAGTTCAAAAGCAGCTTTCTGAATTGGCATGCCTCTTGCATCATATATCATCAGATTCCAAATGTGACCTCTCGCTGTTGTAATGATTTAATTTTCTTTGTTCTGGATGAGGCGAAGACTGTTGCAGTAATTAAGGAATCTAAATTCCTTAAATGCTGAGAGGTTTTCGCTTCACTAAGCCACATACACAGTACATAGAGAGTAGATTTACAGACTGGTTAACACCAGTGATACAGTGAAGAAGAAGAAGAAGAGGAGGAATACATGAAGAAAGCAGTTTTCTGGTATGTGGCGCCGTGTAAATATTGTGTTAACCGAAGTTTCAGAGGAACGTATCGTCTCCATCTTCAGGGTAGAAAAATCCGCAAGCGAAGAACCAGCGTGAGCAGGCGCTGATACGTACATTAATGTGTACACTAATACACAAATGTCTGTAGCCTAGCGGTCTAAGGTATGTACAGTCTTCGCTCGCTCGGAAGAGGGGAACGTGGGTTCGAATCCCGCACAATGCATAGATCTTTGGTGTGTGTATGTGTTTATTCTGTGTTTGTGTTGTCCTTTGTTTAGGTAGAGGCCTTGCAACGAGCTGATCACTCGTCCAAGGGGTTCTACCGTCTATGAAAATTATCATGAAACTGAGAAATCAGCCCTATGCTCCACAGTGGGAGCATGAGGGGTAGAAGTAAAAAAAAATACACTAGTGTATTAGCATCTGCTCACGCTGGTCTTCGCTTGCGGATTTTCTTTTTTCTTCTACCCTGAAGATATAGGCCATACGTTCCTCCGAAACGTCGGTTAACACAATATCTACAAGGCGCCACATCCCAGAAGATTGCTTTCTTCATAGTCACCGCTGTGAAAACCTCAAATCTTACAAGATGAAGACACTTTGCAGTAATTTTCTGCACTGTTCCCTTAGGCGGCAGAGCTCAAACATGTGACAGTTACACACAACTCAGAGTTCATGTGTACGCATCAGATGATACAATTCTTGAGTATTCTTGCAATTGAAATGTCACAGGGTTTTCTGCTTCCTTGCGCGAAGATTCCCTGTTCTTAGTCATTAGAATCGCATAATATGTCACACGAAATATGAAATTAAAATCCTTTTATGAAATTAAGAATTTAAACTCTTTTTTACGCTCTATCATTACACTTTCATAAGAATCAATAGAACTAACTAAGAAATTTTCCATTGTATAGAAGAAAGAAGGCATTCCTGCAGTACTTCAATTTTACTTTGCCACATTTCATGCAGTAGAAAAAGAACATTTGACGAATACATTAAGAATTATGTAAGTAAAGTAAAGCTAACCCTGTACCAGGCCGTGAAGGCCCATATGGTTGTGAGACGTTGAGGGTCCTAAATTATCTAGACAATCGGCTCAAAGATGGCGGTAAGATTGTTCATCCTAGGCAGCACCATAGCTCAGGTGGTTAGTTGCTGGCTTTCCATTACGGCGGCCCGGGTTCGATCCCGGGTCTGTTCAAGTGGAATTTGTGGTGGACAAAGTGGCACTGGGGCAGGTTTTCTCCGAGTATTTTGGTTTCCCCTGCTATCTTCATTCCACAAATTGCTCCACAACCACCCTCACCTATCATCTGGGGCTGGTAAACTAGGCCAGAATTGGCCGCAGTACAAGCGATTTAGTCCCACCCTACCAGCAGTAAAAAGCAAAGTTTATCAACGTTACGCGCCGGCCGCGCTTTACTCCCCAGGAAAATTATGTAATTAATTCCTGGTGGTCATTTCCGTTAGAGGCTGGGTCGACCCCAGAGCCATAGTGCGGCTGGAAAGATTTTCTCTTTCCTTGGCACTACAGCCCCAGTGGGCCTAGGCCTACCTTCATGAACTTCTCCGTTCACTTAGGTTTTTCTAGATCTTACACATTCGGTACGACTCTTTGGGTGGGTGATCAGCTCGTCGCAAGGCCTCTACCTATACACAAACACAGAAAAACCCACACATACAAACTAAACATACATGCCCTGAGTGGGATTCGAATCCACGATCCCAGTTTCCAAGCCAGCGAAGATAGTACATGCCTCAGACAGCTCGGCTGGAAGGATTAGGTCGACATATACAAAAACCGCCAAAAAAGTGTTTTCCAATAGAAATTTCCGATGATACATAAATATACCTCACAAAAGACAATATACATCCCAGTTAGATTTATTACTACTCAGCAACTGCTTCGAAGTTTACCACTTGATACACACGAGCTGTATCATACCTACAAGCGTGTGTAGAAGGAACGTTCAAGAGGCCACACAGCACTCAACGCACACAAACGTTTTTACCAATATATAAGTAGCCTATATTACCCTTTGCCTCTAATAGGACAACACGAATAACTCGAAAAATTTAAAGTTTTTCTTTATTGTTAGTGGGGTGGAACTAAGTCCCTTGTACTCCGGCCACTTCTGGCCTATTGTACCAGCCCCAGATGATAGGTGAGGGTGATTGTGAAGCAATTGGTGGAATGAAGATTGGCAAGGGAAACGGAAGTACTCGGCGAAAACCTTCCCCAGCGCCACTTTGTCCACTACAAATCACACTTGACCAGACCCGGGACTGAACCCGGGCCGCCGCGGTGGGAAGCCAGCGACTAACAACTTGAGCTATGGCGCGGCCAAAAATTTAAACTTAACCCAGGATGTCTCTCAGACAAATTCTTGAAGCTTGTACCTCTTGAATACACCGACCTATGACTCGAGAAAACTCTTGTTTCCTTGACATGCAAATGAAGCTCATCCACAGCGCGTTATATAATTTTAGTTTTTTTTTTAATTTAATCTTTATGATTTAACTAATTTTGGTACCTTTCTCCTCATGACGATGGCGTGGGTTCTAGATATATATTATTAAATAGTGTAATAATAGTAGACTTCTGTATTACATGATTTAGAGAATGTTGTATTATATACATAATCTGAATGTTTCCCAGGGAAGGAGGATACGTCGCAACACTTCAGTCCAGGTGCAAGCCTTCAGGGCAAGATGCAGATCGGAGACCTAAATTGAAAACAGAAGTTATAATTTCTGAGCCTCGATAATTCTTGATATTAATTGATATCAGATTCAAGAGGCAAACGATAAAGTTTTGTATGAAACAGATTATACTTTATTCATTCACTACATAAATTCATACCATGAATGAATTTCTCTTTTACCATTACTAAACACAGAAATCATGGGCTGAATAAGCCTCCATTCTCTGGGTCTACCAATAAGAAGACTGTGATTGTCACCTGCTTCATGTTGGTTCCGCCTTTGTTTAATCCTCGAACCTGAAGATTGAAGCAACATATTTTTCCTAATGCCGGTTGACTCTCAATGGACTACACTGAATTTTAATCCAGATGATATAATCCTTCGCAAACACGCTTACTAAACCGCAAATCCTCCATTGGTATAGTGGTTTTTATATCATGGTCGGTCACCTGAACCTTATTTTCTGAAAAAAGCCCATGTGTGTGTGTGTGTGTGTGTGTGTGTCATATGAATGAGTGGGCGTGTAGGCTTTGAGAGATGCGTGCTTTTCTTTCCACAATTTTTAATGGAGTACATGACTTCTAAAGGCAGTAGTTTAATTTCGTGCTCCCAGTTTACAGAGAAGAATTTCACTTAAAGCGCTTCTCAATCTGCAGCCACATGCCACCAAGGGGAAATAAAATGAATGATTTTGTGTGAAGCACCAGTGGAACTGCAGTTCCCTTGCAGACGCAGAACCGGTACTTGGATAGAAGATAGACAAGTCCCACCTTCGTTTGCATCAGCCCGAACCGCATTCCTGCAAGACACAAATAAATAATTAGAGGCAAGGAATGTCGCGCATTATTCTGCGCTGTTTTTCTACTGGGATCGCTGTAGGCAACATGAACGGGTTTCCCATTTCCTTTTGTATTTCTTTGTGTTGCCATGAAGGCAAGCTGCTCTCGATGCACTGATCCCCCAAGAAGACACTTCTAGCGACTGACTGAGCTGGCTTCAAAGTGGAAAAGAATAGAGAGAATCATGTTTTAATCGAGCGACAGCGTTAAGAGAATAATGTTTAGTAAGAAGGTAAAATGAATTTCCTTTCCCTTCATGATAATTTTTGCAAAAATTGTGAACATTATGTAATGCTGGAAAGTCCTAATTAACTGCCTTCACAAATATGGATCATTCTTGAAAATTCAGCAGTTGATAAACGGCATAAGAACGTTCTAACATTTCGCAGAACCCCGAAGGTTATCTGCCACGTACACTGGGTTTCATTCTAAGGCAGCTATTCCAGTCCACAACATCAGATATTATTTCTCCAGTATCTAATGTGTCTGTCCTCTCTATTGGTAAAAATCTTAGGTGAACACTTCCTATTTATGTTTTCTGATTAAAATTTTGTGTGCATGACTCATACCTACCCTTAGCCCTCTGGTCCTGACCATGGTGTCCGAGATTTATTGGCACTAAATATATTTCCTAAAACCTATAAGTTGTTAAACACCACAGTAGGCAAGGGTTTCAAGCTTAAAATCCCTTTGTTACATGAAAAATGTGATATGCATTAAACACAATATTTGGTTAGACTGAAAGTACCTGTACATTCCTTGGACCCTCTCCTAAGGGCAGATACACGTAGTGGTGCCTCTTTGCCTTTTCCTCTTCACTGAATCGCTCCGGATCGATTCTCTCAGGGTCAGGATAATACTTTGGGTCGTGATGAAGGGCTAAGATGCGTATAAATTTTCGGATTCCCTTCTCCAGGACAATGTCCGTGTCAGGAATTGAGTAACACTTGGTTCTTCAAGGTTTAAGAGTGGAAGTGGTGCATATTTCGGAAGAGTTTCTGAAAAGGACATTCAAAGAAAAATTGCATGCACAGCATTGCAGCCCACCATATCCTTATACCCTTTTAGAAAGAAGGCTCACTATTCTCCAGAGGAACAGAAATCATGTCACCGTTTTGTTCTGGAACCTATAAATTAATACGCATTTTTTTGTTACATGTAAAAGCAAGAACACAGAGTGTGAAGTGTGCTATAACTAACTGACTGTACCAATATTATTTCACGGATCTTACGCTAACATACCAGGGAAAGAATTTAACGCATTGTAGACAATATTTTCACGTAACTGTCAGCACAAAACTATTTTCAGCACGGGGAGTTTGCAACCTGTTTATATGTTTCGGCGTAGCCCTGTGTATGCTATAATCTACGTTATGGGCTCTAATGAATCGGTTTTCAAAATGAAGAGCAGAAAAAGAAAACGTGTCATTTTGGCAGTGCGTTCAGAGCCATAGAGACATAAGTATTTCAATATCCACAAAGTAGACATTTAACTACATTATTAACCAAGAGATAAAACCAAATCCTTATATTATACAATATACGCGTGCGATAATATGTTATTTATTATGAGTACACAGGTTGGTTCATTGGGTGTACACGGAAAATCCACGCTAAGCACATGATTGAAGAACTTTAAGTAACAACCAGGCCTGAAGGTGGCGTACATATGACAATACATATCGACCTAGAAAGCAGACGCCATCTGCAGGAGGGATGTTCTGCTGACAACTACATAAGAAAGAAGAAACAAGATGCGAGAAACGCAAATAAGCAATAAAAATGGAAATGAGGTTACGTATAGGTGATTGTAACAAGACAGGACACTTAACTGACAGATTGAGTGACAACCCCTATGGAGCAGAACGCTTCTCGAGAATCTGATGAACACTCCCACCAAGAAATATTACTTCATTTAATAAAGCGTAATTCGCTTAGTGGGGGGTGGTGGAGTCCAACTGGGTCCACTCGGCACGGTGGTCACTGATTGGCCTATTGTAGCCTTAATATATCCTCAGTTCGACAGAATTCACAAGTGCCCACCTCTAGCATCTCTCGTGAGCCACATGTTCTTACCGTGTTGTTTAAAAGACACATCTTGCCATTTCCTCCGTGTAGGCCTACTTCACCAAAGCGATCTTTTCTTGAGGCTTACAGGTCAGCATTGAACATATATGTGTTATATACTCAATACTTATAACATTGCTTCCATGTCGTTCTCTTTGATTTGGTCTCTGTAATAAACCTTGACGAAGAGTAAAAGTAATCAAACTCGTCATCATCGAAGGGAGTTGCGCTTTTAGTAACGTAAGTAAGCTCCTAGATTTTGAAATAAAACTAGGTCTAACCTGCATAAGACTGCGAGAAATCTGTATTTAGCAAAGATATTTTAAACACAAGAAGAGGAAGAAGGGAACTGGATACGTTCGATGCCGATGAATGCGTAAGGAAATGACTACAGTTATAGATATAAGAGCGATGTTGACAATGTATATTCCCTTCTGGGAAAGTTCGAACTGTTTGCCAAGGGTAAGAAAGCGTTACCTGCGACAACTTTATCCAAATACTCCATCTCCTGGATGGCCTCATACGTAATCTTGCCTTCATGTTTCTTCAGCACTATGTCGATCTCTCCCCGGAGACGTTCCTGTGTATCCTGGTGCAATGGCAGCTCATAGAAACAGAATGTCATGGGGGTTGACGAAGTCACGAATCCCTCAATAAGAATCCGAAGGTTTGCCGCGCCAGTGAGTTCACCGACAGACGAACAATATTAATGAGCGGCCGCAAAAAAAAAAATCTTTCCTCACCCCGGTCCCTCCCTCTATCTCTCCTTCCTCCTTTACCCTATCTCTTAACTCCTTTCCATTTTATTTTTCACAAAATTCCTACTGGTTTTGAACCAGGGACCTTCTGAACACTAAGCTGATGTCTTACCCCCAAGCCACCAGCACCACTGAAATTTACTTTCTTTTATCTTCCTCTTAAGCTACATCTTCGACTATAATTCCAGGAAAAATCGATTAACTTACTTTCTAAATCACAAAACTATACTTGGTTCCGAACCTTCCAACTCTTGTTCACTACGCCGGTATTTTACCACTAGACTACCGATGCCACGGAATTTTTTTTTAGCTTTAATCTTCCTCTTATGTTACATTTCGCTATATAATTCCATAAAAAACTCATTACAAAAATACTTCTGTATTCGAACCACCAACCTTATATTTACAACGCCAGTTCCTTACCGCTAGACTACCCGAACACTTATGCCGGAGCACTCTGCGATCGTCCTTATATTATATGACTCGGTTTATAGCTGCAGAAAACTCGTATTTCTTTATTCACTTTTCAATTGCTATTGACAAAAGACACAGTGATCTAGAACCCGGTACCTTCCCAACACTACGCCATTGTCTTACCCACGTACCACCAGATCTATACACATTTGTTGCCTTCACCTTCCTCATATGGTACCACTTGCTTCCTACATGCGTAAATTTGTTATTATTTTTTCCACAAAAATAGTCATGTCTTCAAACCACGTAACTTCTGAACCATACACTAGTGCCTTACCAAAGGCCCACCATGGTTATGGCAAATATTCGCCTTCGTCTTCCACATATCCTAATGCTTCGTTTCTACAAAATTCCTCTTTACTTCTTGCTTCGTTTCAGTGTCATTTTATGACTGACGGTTTGACAGTCACTTTCTCTTAATTTAGAGCCCATTCAGACGCTCATGGCCAGATCTTAGTCTTGAAGTAAGCTTCACTGTTTGGCCTTTGAATCTTTAACGTCCGACTTGACCCGTTCGGGCCAGTGACTAGTAAGGGAATCGCGCGCACACGCCGCTAGTAGAAGCGCATGCACAGTCCTAAATATTTAATTTTAAATGTAGTAATTACCAGACCGATTTCAGTAAAACCCTAATCGAGGAATTAAAATGATACCTAAGTGAACAACAACAAAAAGAGTATACGTATGAGTTATGCCCAAACTCATCCACGAGCCTGTACTTTTATTGCAGATTCTGCAGATTAATGTGTTAAAAATATATAGTAAAATTCTATGTACATACATGTTTTGTTATCTGCTTGACGTATATATAGGCTGAAATGAAACTACAGTATTCGATTTCACTACGAACGCACAGGAAACAGATCGCTCTCTGTATCTCGACCACGATGCAGTTGTCTGTTCACGCGCATAGAAAGGGCAATAATCTCTTGCAGCTATATCGGAAGGTCTTATCACTGAAGAAGGGACCCCTCTATCCATTTCTTGAATAGCCTTGCTTGCTTTCATTCTTCAGTCATTTAGTCAAAAGATTCGAAAATCTGAAGAGTGTAACAAAGATGTAAGGTTTTCCAGCAGAGAACCAAATGATTTTATTGCTTCCATCTGTTTTATGGCACCAGGGACTGCTAAAATTTGTCAAGTGTTACCAACAGAAACGAATTTATAATTCAGAATTATTCTGCAGCACGAATCAAAATTGACGCTGTGTTCTTTGCTGATACAAACAAAGTTAATTCCATCCATTTATCATAATAATTGTGTTAAACACAGCATTTTTAAACAAAATACTTAAAATTGTTTAAGCGCCCTACCAGGAACGGACATTTCAACGCACTTGAGCAGCGGTCATTTAAATAAACTCCGGCCAGCTCAAGGTTACCACCATTTCAGAAGTTCGGCGTTTGAAGGTTAATAGCTGATTAATATCAAGGGTGGCCGGTGGTCTAGAGTTAAGGTGTATTGTTTAGAAGTTATGTGATTCGAAGACATGACTATTTTTGTGAAAAAAGAATGTAAGGAATTTGTGCATGTAGGAAGCAAGTGGTACTACACGAGGAAGGTGAAGGTAACAAATTTCTATAGATCTGGTGGTACGTGGATGAGACATTGGCGAAGTGTTGGGAAGGTACGGGGTTCGAGACCACGGTTTCTTTTGTCAATAGAAATTGAAAAGTGAATAAATAAATACGATTTTTCTGCAGTTGTAAACCAAGTCGTATAATATAAGGACGATCGCAGACATCTACGCCATGCATGTTCTGGTGGTCTAGTGGTAAGGCACCGGCGTTATAAATATAAGGTCCGTGGTTAGAAAACACAAGTATTTTTGTAATGAGATTTTTATGGAATAATATATCGAGATGTAACATAAGAGGAAGATTAAATGCAGAAAAATTCCGTGGCATTGGTGGCGTATTGGTAAAATACTGGCCTAATGTCACGGAGTTCCAAGGTTCGGAACCAACGAAAGTTTCATAAAATACAAGTGGAGTTAATAAGATTTTTCTGGACTTATAACCGAAGATGTAGCTTAAGAGGAAGATTAAAGAAAACAAATTTCAGTGGCGCTGGTGGTCTAGTGGTAAGACACCAGCTTAGTATTTAGAAGGTCCTGGGTTCAAAACCAGTAGGATTTTTGTGAAAAAAAAATAAAAGAAGAAAACAAACGGCAGTGCAAAAAGGGAAGAGAT